CTGGGAAATAGTGACAGCTTCTGTTCAGTTAGGGATTGTTCATTGACTGTGTACTGGTGGCGGTTGTTGTTGTTGTTTCTTTTCCCTAATTCATGATGGTTTGTTTATATCATGATTTTCATACCCAAACCCAAATTTATGGTTGAATCAACTCCAACTGGCAGCCACTCTGTAAGACAGAGTAAACTGGTCCCGAGGGTTTCCTGAACTGTAATCTGTGTAAAAGCAGACTGCTTTGTCGTTCTCCTACAGAACATTTGGGACAGTTAAGCACTTAAGCACTGAGCCACTAAGGTGCCTCATGATTTTTTTACATCATATTTAATTGATTTTGGAGAGTGGATGCTACAGGCATTATACATGTTTTCATTCCTTTGCTGTTATCGGAAAGTGGATGCATTTTATGCTTGCCAAAAAATCCTAGCAGGAGCTGGTTGTTAGGTGCTAGCAAGTCGGTTCCTCCTCATTGCAACCCGATGTGAAGCAGAAGGGAACAATGCCAGCTCCGGCAACATGCTCACAGTTGTTGCCATGTTTGAGTTCATTGCTGTAGCCTCTAGGTCAGCCCGTCTTCTCCAGAGCCATCCTCTTTTCCACTGCCCTTCTATGTTACTAGCATTATGTCCTTCCACAAGGTGCAGTCTCTTAACAATGTGTCCGAAGTCCACGAAACAAAATCTCACCATACTTGCTTCTAAAGAACATTCTGAGTATATTTCTTCCAAGACATTTGTTTGTTCTTTTCGTGGTTCATGGTACTTTCAATATTCTTTGCCAGCACCGTAATTCAATGCATCGATTCTGCTTTTGCCTTTCTTATTCACTGTCCACATTTCACATGCAGATGAAGCCACTGAAAATACTATGGCTAAGGTCTTCAAAGAAGCTTCCATGCTTTTCAGCATTTTAAAGGGGTCTTCTGAAACAGATTGACCCAATACAATGTGGCATTTGATTTCTTGACTGCTGCTTCCATGAATATTGATTGTGGATACAACCAAAATGAAATCCTTGGCTATTTCAATCTTAATGTTACCCATTGGTCCATCTATGAGTTTCTCGGTCTTCATATTAAATTGCAAGCCATACTAATGGCTTGAATATTCATCAGCAATGCTTTCAGTCCTCATTTTCCGAAAGCAAGATTGTATCATCTGAATATCACAGGTTAATAAGCCTTCCTGATGCCAAATTACTCTTCATATAATCCAATTTCTCTGGTTATTTGCTCAGTGCACAGATTGAATAAGCATGGTGAGATGATACAATCCTGATGCACACCTTTCTTGATTTTACACCATGCAGTATTCTCTTGTTCTGTTCGCACAACTGCTTCTTGATCCTTGTTCCCTGTACAAGTTTCCGATGAGCATTACAAAGTGTTCTGAAATTCCCATTCTTCTCAAGGTTACCCATAGTTTATTATCTATGCAGTCTAATGTCTGCATAGTCAGTGAAACACAAGTAAACATCTTTCTTGTCTCTGCTTTCACCCAAGAGTCATCTGACATCCCTTGTTCCACATCCTCTTCAGAATCTGTTAGATCTCTCTGGAGCTAGATCTATACCTCGGTCCTTGGCTCCGCGTGTGAAAGAATTCACACCGAAGCCTGCAGGGTTCGTGATCCAAGTGAGTTTTATGAAAGTTAGAAGAAGTTTCAGGTTTACACGGCACCCTAAGGGCTCCTCCCGAGCGTACAGCTTGTCTGGAAACTGCTCGGCGTCACGCAAAAGTGTCTAAGTTCTCCAGGCTCCTGCCTTTTCAAGGATTCCACGAGGAGGCATGGTGGACGACCCCTGATCGACCCCATTGGCTGAATTGAATTTTCCTGGCCTAGGTTAGCCAATCCCGTTTCAGCGCCCACCCATGCCTACAGGTGGGAAACCTGAACCTCTGAGCATGTGCAGTGCGCCACTCCTTTGTTTCCGTAGCTTGGCCCTCTGGGCATGCATTAAAGGACATCCCCCAGCCCTAAGCTAGCCTACTTAACAAATCCAACCTAAACCTCAGGCAGCTCCTTGTCAATGTAATACTGCAACCTTTCTTGGATGGACTTCAGCAAAATTTTACTTTCATATGATATTCATGATATATATATTCATGATATTCTGTCATTTGAGCCTTTTGTTGAGTCTCATTTCTTTAGTATGAGTACAAATGTGGACTTAATCCAGTCAGTTGGCCAAGTAGCTGTCTTCCAAATTTCCTGGTATAGACAAGTGAATGCTTCCAGTTCTTCTTCAGCTTGTTGAATCATTTCCATGGGTATTCCACCAGTTTTTAGAGCATTGTTTTTGGCTAATGCTTTTAGTACAGCTTGGACTTCTTCCTTCAGCACCATTGGTTCTTGCTCACCCAAGCGGGTGGTTGTGTAATTGAGGGTTAAATTAATGAAATGACAGACAAAACATGCAAGGGATCACCTTTTCCAAGGCAACTGGAACGAGAATGAGGGAATAATGTATTCTCCCACAAGCGTACAATAAACACATATGTAACAGGAAGGTGTTGTATTAGAGGCGTATATGTTACAGGAAGGGGATGAGCTAGGGATATGCATAAATTAGGTTAGAGGCATACATGTGTCAGCAAGGTACATACGTAATAAGATAGGAGGTTCTAGAGTTAACATGGCAGCCTAACCTTAGTTGTCTCTGAGCTGGCTTGACCTTAAGTGTCTTGGAGCTCTTCTCCAGGGGAACAATCTATGATCCTTATCAGAAGGGGGTGTGCTGTAGTTAGGGAGGGGTGGGGTGATTGCTTTTGATGGCTGGTGACCTTCAGGCAGATAGCCTTCAAGCAGTTCACCTTCAAGAGTAGAGTAGCAACCATGTGCTTGTTAGCAGCATTGGCATTGTTATGGAGGAACATTGTGGGGAATAACTCTTACTTACTTAGGAGAATGTGACTGGGATGCATCTCCACCCCACAAACAGGAAGGCCTCCCTCCATGAGAATCCTGGCCTCCCAGGCTTCTTAAATATGAGTGTAGAGAATTTGTCCACCTATACTCTCTTCCCGGTTTTCATTCCCCATTTGTTTAGCTGCTGATATTGAACTTCGCCATTGTTTCTTCCCACAGATGAAGTAAATTTTCTTTCTGTATATTCCATCTGGAGAAGTCACGTGCATATTTGCCCTTTGTGGTGTTGAATAAAGGCATTTATTAAGAACAATTTATTCATCTTGCAAAATTCTATCACGTGACCTCCAGCTTCATTTTTTATGACCAAGATCATATTTTCCACCTATTGTTCCTTCTTCTGTTTCCACCTTTAGCATACCAATTGCCAGTAATTACCAGTGCACCTTGATTCAGTGTTTCTTCAAATTCAAACTTAAGACGTTGGTAGAATTCTTCAATTTCTTCATCTCTAGCTTGAGTGATTGGGTGCATACATTTGATTGGATTGTATTGATTGGATATCCTTAAGTGCAGATTGGTAAAATTCTATCACAGACAGCATTGTACATCAAGTTAAATATTGAAATGCCCTATTTGACACTGAATTTAATGCCAGTCCTCTTGATTGTATTATTCCCATCATAGTAAACTGTATGATTTTCTGATTCAGAATAGCCTGTACCAGTCTATTTCAGCTCTCTAATGCCTAGGACTTCAGTCTTTATGCATTCCATTTTATTTTTGATGACACCCAATTTTCCTAGCTTCAGACTTCAGATATTACAAGTTTCGGTTATTAGTAGACTTTTGCAGCTGTTTCTTCTCATTTTCAGTTGTGTCTCATTAGCAGATGGAGATCCCAAAGGCTTTACTGCCATCTATTATGTTCAACTCTACTCATATTTTGAGTAACATCTGAGTGAAAGGGCTCCTCTTCTGGCACTATTTCTGACAATGTTTTGCTTGCAGTCAATAGGTCTTCGGTATCTGACAATGTTTTGATGCTGTCCATGAGGTTTTCAGTGGCTAATTAATCTGAAATGGACATCTGATTCCTTCTTCGTATGCAGTCTGTCATTACTCTGAAAGTTCCACTGTTTGGGTGACCCTGCTGACATTTGAAATTACCAGCAACAAATCTACCAGCTTCACAACACCACGGTACGATAAACATGGTGAAGCAGGTGCTCATTTTCCCTGTCTCCCCCACCCCCTCCCCCAGCCCAGTAATAACTTTATGTGGAAGCTGAGTGGTTGCTTTTGTTGCTGACATTTTTGGATGTTGGATTTTCCTGAACCACTAATACCAAAGTATCTGTGGAGATGGATATAGGGCTCCAGCGACCGTGTTTTTTGGTTTCAAGAGTACCTCTGGGTTACTGCCGTGACGTGCTCTTTCATTTATTAGCAGTCATTTCGGCCCTCCGGTTCTTTCAAACTACTGTTATTCATCTGAGTTCTTCTCATCAGCATTCTTTCTGTTTTCCACCACTTAACCATCCCAGGGCACTTTGTAACTCTCACCCCCAAAGTTAAGACTTTCCAAGACTTCCATTTCTATCCCTATGTACTTTCCAACCTCCTTCTTCAACTCTACATTAGCTACTGCTCTGTTTTTTATAGTTTCAGATGTGTTTCCAGTATTTCCTTACTTATGGCAGTAATTTCTTTTTCACTGGGTGTATCTTAGTTACTGTTTTCTTTCCACCACCATAAGGATCAAGCTATGTTCATGTCGCACCTACATATATCCCAAGTGATTCCGATCTTTCATAAATTCCAGAGGTGATTTGACTGGTTTTACAAGGTTATTTCTGCATGTTTAACTAAATAAGTAGCCTACTTGAAGCAGTAGGTCATATTTCCTTGAGTCTGCCTTTTCTCTTGTAACACTACTATTTCTTTATGGTTTCTTGTATTTTCATGCCAAATTACTTTTTTAGTAAGAATTAGCTTAGGATAACCCTTGAATTTTAGAAATTTAGCAAAAAAAGTTAGATTTCTACCATTATAATCCAAATTATCTGGTATTAATTTTGTTCACTCTTTTTGTATTTGCCTCATGTACTTATATATGTCTCTACTGTTTTTCAGCTGCCTACTGAATCACTCTTCTATCGTGCTGTTCTTCAGGATATTATTAAAGATTGTTTTGGTATCACCAAATGGTATGATAATTTTATTTTTATTAGAATGTTGTAAGTGAAATGATATTTAGTATTTAGATGAATTTTGATTCATTCTTATTGTTCACTATTATTGATAGGTCTTGTATTAGAACATGATGTCAGGAACTGACAAATAAGTAAGCAACAACTGTGTCTTAGGGTAATCACCATTCAATTGAGGCCTTTGATGATTCTGAAAGGGTTGTGTGATGGTAAAAGGATTTGTGACATAGTAAATCCCTGGGTTATGAACATCTGACTTAGAGATTATTGTTATTTGCCCTTCAATGTTATGTAAATTTCCTCTAACCTTTGAAACAAGTGAAGTAACACATACTCTCAAAATATTCTTCATTACAATCATATCATTTGCTGTTCTATATGGGAACTTTTAAATCATTGGAAAGGCTTCAAGCCACTTCTTGCACTAATATAATACATAAGTAATTCCATTAATATGATCATATGAGTGGGAGTTAGTTATAAGAGGGGGCTTATTTGTAGCAGAATTCCATTATCTTTTATTTCTGTTTTCCACACACTTTGTAAAACCCCTCATATTTAAAATATGTCACACCCAGCAAAAATACTTACTAATTAGAACAGATATTGATCATAAATGGCCATTATGACCATTGGGTTCTCTAGTGGTAGGATAGTAACCTTTAAAATACTTTTTTATGCTTCTGTTTTCCTCCTGCTAAGAAACTGTTTGTACTAAGAGGAAAGGGGTAAGAGAAGCTTTTGTACAGTGTCGGTTCAACAACTATAATATTTGAAGTGTATTTGCAATCTTAGAAGGTTTCTAGAATGTCTTGTTACTAATTACAGTTCTTAAGATTCTGGTAATCACTTGTAAAAGCATATTCTTTCATTAAAATGGGCAGTTTTCAAATTCTCATAAAATAAACCATACAAACATTTATTAAAAAGTAGCAAATATATTGAAATTGTCTATTATTTTTCTGGAAGGAAAAAAATCTATTATCTCCCTGATTAAAAAAAAAACTACTACAAAAAGCTACATGTCACCTTGGTCTCAACTGTCATCTCTATGTAGGTACCTCCCAAACATATAACCCAATTTCCATTCTCTTTCCACGTATTTGGCAGTCTTGAAAAATAGTTAATTTTTATGTTCTTAAAACTAGATCCTTCTCTTGAGATCACCCCAAATACTAACCTGGTTAGGAAAGTCACAAAAGCATGCAAACTCAAGTCCATTCAAAATATTGACTATCATCCTTGCTTTAAGTCTTACAACCTGTTCGTCGATTTGCTTTTCTAACAGTGAGTTCTTAACTATTCAATTTATTTTAAACATTACTTCTGTCTTCCCATTGAGACAGTGGAAGTGCCCTTGTGAGTTTCTGAGACTAAAACTTTGCAGAATAGAAAGTGCCCTCTTTCTCCTTCAGAGCATCTAACGTTTTCAAATCGCTGACGCTGTGGTTAGCAGAACTGACTCGATGGCAGTGAGGTGTTTTGTTTGTTTTGTTTTGTCTTAAAAGTTCAACTCTCTCCAACCTTCTATACTCTTGCCTTCTTCTACTTCTTTTTCCATTTCAGAGACTCATTGAACTTTCTGCCACATTTGATCATGTTGATGATTGTACTTTTCCAAACTTTCTTTCTTGTTAGCTTCCGCTCTGTTGCATTCTGCTGAGTTTCATTTCTTTACTTTAAACACTTATTTGTTTTCATTAAGACTTATTTTCTTTGCCCTATTCCCCAAGTGTATCTATGCATTTCCAAATGTTTTAAATTGTATTCTTATCACTTATTTTTCGTTCTAACATCTTTTTGGTTGTCCATGGCTACATTTCCCATTTTCATCTAAATACCTCACAAAAAACTTCATATTCACCTCTGTCCTCTAACCAAAGTCATCTTGCCACCAATTCCACCTGTCTTGGCTTTCTTGTTTCTGGGAATGACATGTCTATTACCAAAGTTTAGAAATATAATATTTTCTTATCCCATCATCAGACTACACATAATAAAATTCGTTTTCAAGTCCCACATGTCAGGTTGTTGTTGTTGTTTTTATCCAGCAATTACGTATTATGTGACAAACAGCATATTAAATAATTCCACTCATAGTGATCCTATAAGGAAGAATAGAATTGATTGGTTGGGTTTCTGAGGGTAGAACTTTTTTTGGAAACAGATTACCTCATATTTCTCTAACAAAGATTCAAATCACTAACCATTCCATCAACAGCCCAACCTTTAAACCACTGTACCAACCAGGCCCCTAAAATCATCTAATCCCAACCTAATTTGACCTGCGGCCCTCTTTTCAGGGAAAAAAAAAGTATTCACAGCCCCAAGCAATTAAAATTTTTGTACTATAGCCCATAATCCAGGATAAAAATGTATATTTTTTAGATGTATAAATTAATTAAAATTTTTGGAACATTAAAAGAGACATACAAGCAATTTGCTCTGTAAGTTAAACAGCAACTTGATCTCAACAACATTAAAAATAAAATGTCACCTGTTACTAATTTTCTTCTTGGGTACAAAGTCACTGTTTGCTTGAATGCAAAGAGAAAAGCATCTTGATGTTGTTTACACAGTCCAAATAAAAGAACAAATTGCAAAGGTTCATGTATACGGAAAAGCAAATAAAAGAAAGTTTTCCAGATCAAGGCTGCATACAATTATAAGTACTATACTATAGACCCCAAACAGAGCTCAAGATAGTACATATTTGTGCTACAAACAGAACTGAAATAATACAGTAGATATATATACTTTTACAGCCCCCTGGATCATTCTACTTCCCCTGTAGAGTGGTATTGCCCACTTGGGAAACACTGGACTAGACCATTTTAGAATGCAAGATGAATGATGGTTAGCTAACATGTTTATTTAGTCCTGCAGCTTCTAAATGTAGCATTGAGACTATTCTTGGGAACACATAACGTAAGCACCTGTGCGCGTGTGCACATACAACTTGTTGTTAGGTCCCATCAAGTCCATTCCAACTTATACAGACCTATGTACAACAGAATGAAGCACTGCTTGGTCCTGTGCCAGCCTCACAATTGTTGTTATGTGTGAGTCCATTGGGGCAGCCAAGTGTCAATGTCTTATCCTGAGTCTCCCACTCTTTCACGGCCTCTCTACAAGCATGATGTCCTTTTCCAAAATATATGTATGCATATATGGGTCGACATATGTATATACCATATGTAGCCACTAA